CCCCAAAACCCCAAAACCCCAAAACCCCAAAACCCCAAAACCCCAAAACCCCAAAACCCCATTGGTTGTCTTCATTGTTGAAAATGGAAAGACGTAATTAGGGGGTTTTGAAATGAAACGCTAGTATTGTGGCTAATGCAAGGTTAGATCAAGCAAATTAGAACTGGTCTTTGATGAAGGTAGTAACCTTGTCAACAAAGAGAATTTTGACGATGGCGCCAATGTCTTCTCCAGCTGGTTCAAATTCTTTGGCATTGAAGTGGGTCTGGGCGTTTTTGACATCTTTAGTGATGGTCTTTCCGTGCCAGAGGATTTCCTTAGCGAAATGGACAGCTAGTTCAGTTGGGTTTTTGAATTCATCAATGATGTGTTGGAAATCATCAAAGAGTCCTTCAGCAGCTTCACATTCTTGGAGTTCAACTGGGAGTTCTTCAAGAGCTTCTCCAATGAATTTAAGTCCTTCGACAACATGGGTGACTCCACCTTGTTCGAATTCATTGATAGCTTTTTCGATATCAACGATGATTTGCTCACCATCTTCAAGACACTCAACAGCGGCTTTAGCATCTCCACCGAAGGTTCCGACGAGGATTCCCTCAACAAGTTGTTCAACTTCAGCGGTTGGGATAGTATATTGTGGTCTGTTGACTGCCTTCTGTACGAGGAGAATGTGAATGATATCTCCGACGTTGACTCCAGCATCCTTGAAGTGTCCTTCTCCGAAGTTAGCAACAGCACCAGTGATGTCCTTATAGATTGATCTTCCGTACCAGAGGATCTCGTATCCAACATGCACTACCAATTGCTTTGGATTCTTAAATTCTTCAACAAGATATTTGAAGTCATCGAGGATGGCTTCAGCACTCTGGCAGTCCTTGAATTCTTCTGGAAGGTGCTCAAGGGCTTGTCCGATGTGAGAAAGTCCGTTGACAATGTTTGTGACTCCTCCCTTAGAGAGTTCTTTGACAGATTCTTCAATTTCTTGGAAGGTTTCTTCTCCGTCCTGGATGCATTTAACTGCAGCAACTCCGTGATCAGCGAATGCACCAATAAGGACTCCCTCAATGGTCTCAACAACATCTACGTTGGCAGCTGTGACGCATGAGAAGGTCATCAGCATAGCGAAGAATATAGCAAATGTTTTCATTTTATTCTAACCTGAATATATTATAGCTATCAACTTGAGTATTTATATTGGGGTTTTGGGGTTTTGGGGTTTTGGGGTTTTGGGGTTTTGGGGTTTTGGGG